TGGTTAAGGATGGAGAGATCATATATCCATCCGTTTTTGTTAAACACTAACCGTTTAGTGCCAACATGTTATACCGTTTAGTTTACCAATTAATGTTTAAGATAGGGATTTACTTGTAATTACTTTATAAGTCACTCGATTGTATAAATATTTTTATAACAGTATTAGTACATAGAACTTAAACTCGCTTAATTACCAAGTTGCCCACTCGAGTAGTCATCGAGGAGGAAGCGAAGCTGTTCACGAAGCTTTACAGTGTCCCATGTTGAATTTCCTATCACGGGATGACACCGTGAAAGGGATCTCAGCTTCAACTACTTCTCTAAAATCTTACACCTAAATATTTTACACTTGTCTCACATGCATGTCATTACCAACACTATTTTTTTCCTATCCTATAAGATATTCTCTAGGTACATTCTTTAGTCATGGATTTTGTGAAGTTTTCTGATGGTCGAAGCAAGTTGGATTCCACTATCTGAATCTTCACTATCTATGTAGTTTCATCTACGCTCGTCTATTTCTGTAGGTACAATTTTAATTAACATAATATCCTTTGATGACTCCTCCTCTTTTAAGAGATTCATAATTCGGATTATATTCATGAATAGCCCACTCTTCATCCTTGGGATTATAGAGATATGTGTAGTCCTCATCAAACATCCATTCACAAGGGGTTGAATAACTAACACACTCGTAGTCGAATCGAAACGCGACGAAAGTTCCCATGTTTGTGGAGCAATTGTACATGGTGGAAGAAGGGAAGAATTTCCTGATTTTGACACTAATGTTGAAACTGCCCATTTTATTCAGATGCCTAACTTGGCCGTCGTCGTCGAAGGAGAAACATCGGATGCTTAGGTAATTACTGTGGTTGTTTGTTACCACAACAGTCTTTATCAATGGAAATCCTGCTGCAACATTTGAGGCATTGATCATGAACAACAACATTGCCATGATTGTTGTTGTTGAGGTGATAATTGCTCCCATTTTAGCTTCTTTCATGATGTGTTTTTTCTTTCTTTCTGGGTTGTTTCTCTTTGCCAGTTGTCCTCCTGAAATATCTAAATATAAAAGAAGAATATTTTAGGAGAAAAAGAAAATTGAATTCATTTGCACAAATAAATGTTGTTATTCCTTGTTTTTAATATCAAATCATTGAGGATTGTACATGTCATACATTAAAGGGCAGCCTGGTGCACTAAGTTTCCGCTATGCGCGGGATCCGAAAAAAATGGACTATAAGAGTCTGTTGTATGCAGCCCTACCCTGCATTTCTACAAGAGGCTGCCATGCATTAACCTAACCAAACTATTCAAAAGAAGGCCAGCTTCTATGAACCTGATGCGTACAAGTCTTTCTGTTTGTTGGAATGCTTATTCATAATACTAGGGGTGTCATAGGACTAATTCAATTTCCAAAGCTAATTTTCTAGCGTCCCATACTTTATCTATCATTCGGTTAAGTATCCCACTCCATTTCTTAGGTTAGAGGAATCTACCTGTATTGCATGAACCAGTATCCTTTTCTTTTGTACTAAGCAACTACGTGAAAGTTAAATATAGAATAGAAGATGTTTATTCTTCACCCTTAAGCGTCATTGAAACAATTTGAGGCGAAGCCTGAAGGACCGGATCATATAGAGTCTTACCTTACATTTCTACAAGAAAGTTATATTTTCGCAGCTTGAACTATGATCCTTTTGTCATATGACGACAACTCTTATTGTTACACTAAGGCTCCCCTTTCTTAGGAAATTCAAATAAACAAATCTAAAATTCTTCAATTTTGAATGAAAGTTGCACAAGTTTACTTTAAAAAATGATGTTGATGTAATTTCATATAATATGGGGTTAAGGAAGGGGTTATTAGTTCTTGTCTATTGTGATCAATTCCTCTTGTAAGAGGAAGGTAAATCAATATGCAGTAAAATCTTCATAGACTATTGAATGTTGTGAAAGGAAATTTATTGCATGGATGAATGATAAAAGAGAAAATATACCTTATATTTCTTGGCTGCAATGGAGAGAATGGTGCAAGGTTTTAATGATGTTTTTGGCTGTGAATTGGGGTTAAAGGAATCTTGAAAATGGAGAGAGAAAAAAAATTCCAAACAATGATTAACTAAGAATTTTTTTCTGTTTTGTTGGATGATTAAACCAAGATTTTAATGATGTTTTTCTGTTTAATGGGTTTTGGAAATGAATCTTGAAAATGAAGAGAGAAAGAGAGATTCTTCAAAGGAGGATAACAAAGAATTTTTTCTTTCTTTCTTTCTTGTTTTATTGAATGATTAAACCATTCCATGACTGCTATATATTAATAAATTATAGTTAAGTAGGAGGTCTTAAATCTTTTATACTATTTTAAGCTTTTACTATTTTTCTGCAGTTAAAAAGAAAATCTCAATTTGGATACACAAACTTCTGGTTCTTCTTTTTTGTCGCAAAACCAAATATATTGCCTAAAATCCAGCGAGTTAGAAGGGTATTAGCCAACGGTCAGTTTGGTACCGTTTTAAATATTCCTGTTCAATATTTTTGGTATTCAAAGTTAATAGGATCGATATCGTGTCACCTGTATTAGCCATACATATATTATACCTAATTAAATTTATTCAATATTATACCCTATTAAATTTATAACGGTTTGTATAGATAATAAATTTGCGTCAAGAAAATAATCGAGACCAAAAAATATTGCAACAATCGTAGTATTTGATTTCAAATAATTTGAGTGTTACAATCTCTATAATTTCTCTGATTCTTCTTTTCAACAATACATAAATTCAAGCGTTTTTGAGCTTGATTTTGAGTCTATATTTGTTGCGATGAACGATGATCTTGAAATCAACTAGCACGAACTTTGATACGAACTTTGACTCCTTGAATTTTGATGTGTTCTTTGTTCTTGATCCACGAGTTTTTTCTTACTTCTTGTTATAACTTCTAGTGTCTTTTCTGAGTTATGAATACCCTATTTATAGTTGTGGGAGGGAAGAGTTATCACAAGAACATACTCCTTCCGACCAATCAAGTTGAAGTGTGACAAGGTCGCATTTGATCGGCCAAAACATGTCACTTGCACACATGACAAAGTTTCATTGACTTTTGAATTTGACTTGCCATGCCTTGTCATTTTGACAGGTGACACGATCCTATTAACTATTTTATTTGATTTGGTGTGCCACGTCATTTGATACGCGACACCAAACTGGACCTCCAGGAAGATGACATCTTGTTCTTAATGAAGTGAGTTCATCACTTGTAGCCCAATTAAACGGGTTAGCCTAATAGATGTGAACTCATTTATTTAACCCATATATATTTGGACTTATATAATTAATCGAATTATATTAGCACATAATATTCAGTTGGCCTAACATATTTAACACATAGTCTAAATTATTTTATTAAATTTGAATTCAATAAATTTTGTATACCTAAGAGGTAAGAAAAAACTGTTGATAAAATACTAAATAAAAAAAAGTGCCTTCTGAAACTTCCAATTTTCTAAAAAAGTGAGTTAGAACAAAGCAATTGAAAATCAATATAAGAATATAGAAAACAATACTACAAAACAAAAATTACAGTTGAACTGGCGTAAAGATCCGAATTGGATCATGTCTTTTATTTTGAGAAAATAAATTAAAGATAATTCAAAGTTTTAATTTTAATTTCTCATAATCACAATATTCCTTTTCGGATTCATCAATGTCACGATCCATTTTTTGAACAAGCCGAAACCGGCACTCGATCACTAAACATGACCGAGTGAACCATCTCTGCTTATCAAACCTATTATAACTCCAAACTTTATATGCAACAAAGCAATACTCTAACCAAATACTTTTGATTAATTCAAATATTTAAATAAATCAACTCCAAAACTTTGTTCGTAGTAACTACTGAATTACTGCTAAGTTATTATAAAATAACATCTGAATCTCAACCCAATGACTATGTCTATGAAGCCTCTACTGATAAACTGACGCACTGCTCAGGACATGAGATTTCCAGGTCAGTTCTCTAAGTAACAAAGAAATAACTAAATAAAGATGACTCTAAGGAATACTCCACGAATAAAAGCGGAGCTCACCAATAGCACTGGAAGCGAAGGAAGTCCTAACTCGTAGCCTGCTTGCCTGCAAATCCGGTTCCTACGTTGTACCGCAGACCAACGTATGTTCCCAAAAGAGAACGTCAGTACCATCCATTGTACTCAGTGAGTCTCAATAACATGGGACGAAACTTTAATAACATATACATTATGAGAAAAGGTTCTAAATGCATGTAAAACATAAAGCTTATAAGAATAATTCTAAATAACTGCATAACAGCAGTTTATGAATATTCTAAAAGAAATTCTTTTCTTTTTCTTTCTTAAAAAAAAAATACTTCGCTTTATACTTTGGGAGTTCCAACTATCCTGACTTAATTCTGTCTCAGTCACCGTATGATCGGCACGGGTTCGATCCCAACCTAATCGAATAGGCCCAATCCACGAGGTGCCACTCGCTTCATGGTTCTCAGCGCTCATGTATCATACCTTAGCATGGCTAAGTAATTTCTCAGCAATGAGACCCTCGGCTCGTGTGCTCCCTACTTTGGCACAAGTAGTTTCAGGAAGTTAACGCCTTGGTCAGGACCCTCGGCCTGGACGATGACCCCTTCTCAGAATAAAGGATACTCCCAAAAATCTTTTCTTTTTAAAACTCCTTCTTGTGACTTTTCAAGTCTAAATCTTTCGAACATACTTATTCTAAAAAATTTTAATGTAAGGTATGGAATAAGAATGAAATAAACATTCAAAACTATTTCTAAATATTCGTGCTTTTTCATGAATTTTCAACATGAAAATGGCATATAAGAATAACACAAAAAATCTAAAAATTTATGCACATATATCAAAATAATTCATCTAACTTTAACAAAAAAACAATTCTAAGCTAATAGGAACGCACTCACTTCGATTAAGCACATATTCACTCTTTTAGCCAATTCATCAAACACCTTGTATGCATACTTTTGTGAGTTAAACCACTTTGGTAAAGGGTTATATCTACTCACCTCAAACTTCTCGAGCCAATACGTAGACTCCAATCCAATTTATACACGTCAAATAATTGATTCTACAACAACCAGTACATTTTAATTAATTTTAAAGTTTCACACCTAACATAAAATCTATTGTTGATATGGAGAAAAACGGGAATTAACTATTCAATTCTTACCTATTACTACTATAGGGTAATTGATAATAGGGAATTTTATATACCTGAGTTCAAGAATTAATGATTTGTAAAGAACCCTAGAATTTTCCGTTGTTTGCGTGAGTATTTCGCTGAAACGGCTTTGGGAACAGAATGTCGACTCCAATCTTCAAATGGCTTTCACGCCTTTCTCTGCCAAGAGCCCTTTATGGGCTTAAGGCTCACGTGCCCTTTTCCTTCTAGTTCTTTTTTTTTGTTTTTCTTTTTTTTTTTTTTTTTGTTTTGTTTGTTTGTTTGTTTTGTTTGTTTTGACTTAACTAGTATTTAATTATACCTACTTTTAATAATTAATAACATTAAAGTTATTAATATTCCCCTAATTGTATATCCAATTATTTATAAATAGAGAAGTAACTCAAAATTAATCACACGGGTTTAAATCCGTAATAGAAGTATAATTTAAGTTTAAACAATAAATAAATTCTATATTTAGCGTGTATTGAAACTTTTATAGCTTTGATGAGTGTTACAATCTTCCCTCCTTAAAAACATTCGTCCTCGAATGTTGCTAGGGCGTTATTCTTTAGCTAACAATCATTCCTTAGGTCCTTGAACCTCTTAAATTTTCTTAGCACTACTGACTCTTCCAAGGGACTCAAAATTTTGGCTAACTTCCTTAATTTTCAAAAATTTCGGCAGAGTTTCCCTTATAAATTGGACTATCCAAAAAAATATCCCTGTCACAAATACCACAACTACACCAACAACAACCAAATATACCATAACAGACCATTCATAGGCACCATACACAGCTCATAAATTAATTACTCACACTCCGGCAAGGAGGTATCACAATAACTAACAAGAATCTAAAGCACAACACTTTAGCAAAAGTAAATCACTCTAATGAATTAAATATACTCTGGCATAAACTAAATCACTACAACAACTAAATATAATCTAGGAAGGACATAAACACTTGCTAACTTGTATTTAATAAATGAAATATAAATGTCAAACCAACATAGGTTCACATACCTTTTTCCTCAAATAAATATGGATATTTCTTTCTCATATCTTCCTCGACCTCCCACGTAGCCTCTTTTGAATCATGATTACTCCACAAAACTTCTACCGATGCTATATCCTTTGTTCTCAACTTTCTTACTTGCCTATCAAGAATTTCTATAGGTACCTCTTCATAAGTCAAGCCTTCTTTAATTTCTATGGTATCAACAGTTATTACATGCGACTCATCATGAATGTGCTTTCTAAGCATCGACACATGAAAGACAGGATGAACAGAGGACAACTCAACGGGTAGCGCTAACTTATAAGCCACGTTTCCTTTCTTTTCTAAAATTTCATAAGGTCCGATAAATCTAGGGCTAAGTTTCCCTTTCTTACCAAACCTCATAACTCCTTTCATTGGTGAAACTTTCAAAAACACCTTATCACCAACCATGAACTCTAACTCACGATGCCTCTTGTCAGAATAAGACATTTGACGACTCTGAGCCGCTTTAAGTCTTTCTCTAATTAGCTGAACTTTCTCCAAGGCCTCACAAACAAACTCTGGACCAATCAACGGCACCTCTGCTGGTTCAAACCAACCCACTGGAGACCTACACCTCCGCCCATACAACGCTTCATAAGGAGCCATGCTAATGCTGGCCTGATAGCTGTTATTGGAAGCAAATTCTATAAGTGGCAAGTGATCATCCCAATTACCTCCAAAATCTATAACACACGCACACAACATATCTTCGAGAGTCTGAATGGTCCTTTCTGCCTGGCCATCGGTCTGTGGATGAAAAGCGGTGCTTGAATTGACCTTGGTACCTAATCTTTTCTGAAATGCCTGCCAAAAATGCACCGTGAACTGAGGGCCTCTATCAGATATGATTGAAACTGGAGTACCATGCAATCGGACTATTTCTTTGATGTACAACTGCGCATACTGCTCTGCGGAATCTGTCGTCTTTATTCGTAGGAAATGCGCGGACTTTGTCAGCCGGTCTACAATAACCCAAATTGAATCATGTTTACGGTATGTGAGAGGTAGACCTACTACGAAGTCCATA